AACCAGGTCTATGAAAACAAGCCCAAAAGAAGCAACACATACATGATGTTGTGTAATTTTAACCCAAAACTAAGGCCTCAGGATGACTTTAAGACGTGAACATGGTCATTTTTGTTTTGTAACATTAAATAAAATGTATAAAAATATTTTATAAAAAAAAAAAAAAAAAAAAAAAAAAATTCCGATCCCCGATTTTTTTCTCCCGATCCCCGATCACGTGAAAATCACGTGATCGGCTCCGATCCCCGATCACGTGATCGGATCGGGACATCCCTATACAGAACCAATGATGCAAGCTAGTGTGTTACATAGTCTTTCCTCTCATACTGAAAACAACATGTTCTTCCTATTGATGCTAAGTTAGTAATTTAGGTGAGAACAAATTCAAAAGATCAAGCTGAAGTACAGTGCTTCTGATGCTTGGGAAAGCCTGTTTTTTTTTTAGGGATTTAAATCATGCTGCACATTTGTACAAAAACGCTCAAATTAGGAGCTTTGAGTGAAAAGGAATTAGAGTCACATGAGAAGCCAATAAGACCTAAAGCAGCTGTCCTTTCTCATCAGTATGGATGTGAAATAGGTCTTAAAAATGGTCTTAAAATGACCTTTAAAGTCATAAATGTAACACCGGACCAGAATTTTAAGGGTTAACAGAAGCTTTTTAAAGACCGCCTGAATCTACATGTAGTGTGTTCTCTGTGCTTTAAGAGGGTCAGCTTTACTGTCCAGGATTCTCTATAAATAGACGACTAGGTGAAGGATTCAGTGTGCGGTTGTAATGTGAAGCGTTGAGTCAGTGTGTGTTTATTAAACTGTGACTAATAGAAAAGGAAATTCCAACAGCAACAGCACCTTAGCCACAGGATCTGAGGTTACCCACTGCGGACATGTGGAGCTCAGTCGGACACTAAAAATGGAAGTGATATATTTACAAGGGAAGCTGAACTGAAATAGAACCAAACATGTTGCAGAGAAACTAATTTGTGTGCATGTATGATTTATTTATTCGCACTTGCAGCAGGCGTTTCGAAGTGATTGTTAGTTAGATCACGAACCTATCCAAAGTATGGCAATGGCATGATGAAAACTCACAACAATAGCTGCAACCACTGAAGCATACTGTAGAGGTCTCTTTCCTAGTGATTCAAGTGTTGGAAGTTATTAGCAAGGGTAAAGGAAATCGAAGCTTGTTTCCACGAGGAAACACACTGCAGAGGTGAAGCTGTTGTGCAGAGAATTCAATTAGTTTTTAAATTGACTTTCCCTGAACTCACACACCCAGGTCACAGCTTATATCCTGCGTACAGCATTTCAAGGATTTAAGGGATAGTTTGGAAAAGGGTTGTATGAGGTACTTATCCAGAGTCAGTGTATTACCTGCAGTCGTTTGGAGAAAGAGACATGAGAAGGGATGTCTTAGGGCCCGGTAATAGTGTCCAGAGGAAGATAAACATGTGTTTGGGACACAATTTACTCACTTTCAACTCGTCCAAGGGAAGCACGCTATTATTTCCTTATTATTTCGTCAAAACCATATCTGTGTTGTATTCAGCAAGAAAGCTAGTTGACATTAGCCGTTAGCATCCAGTTACAGAGGTTGCTGTTCTTTGCTCTTTTCAGTAAAAGTGAATATTGGCTGAGGCTAAATTAAGTCCTCATTAATATGTGTACAAATATTGTTTTTGGAGACAGTCTATGACAAATACAGTTATTCAGAGGAGATGTTTCAGAGCATTATAGCATAGATATTAAACATGAACAACTCTTCAAAATTAATTTGCAATATCTTTGCTCTTATTGTTTCGATGGTGTATGATGATTGTTTCACAGAGATGCGAAATGATTTCATTAAGACTTCACACATACATGTGCACATAGCTATTTTGTGTGTGTGTGTGTGTCCTTACAAAGTGTGTGTATCCATGTAAGTGTGAGAGACAGAGGGAGGCAGCAGATTTACAAGCTTGTGTCAACAATGGCTCTTCCTTCTGGTGTGATATCAATATCACACGTCATTGAATAAACATTGTATGACTCATCTGTTAGGATACAGAGTGTTGTGCAACCATGTCACGAAGATGACCACAATTTGACTCAACAAGTAGAAATCCTATTTAAGTCCAGTTTTTCGCTGTAAACAATCTTTTCGGAGTAGAAAAGTAGACATCCTGCCTGACTCACCACTCACCAAAATGAATATTCTTTCGTGTCATCCCAAAAGTGTTTGCTTTGTCTATCCATACCCGTCCCTTTGCTGTTTCACTTTCATTCCCCTTTTTCTTTCATTTCTCCTCCCTTCAGCTGAGCTGCATTATGGGCAGAGATGGCAAAAGTACACACATCCTTAACTCAAGTAGAAGCACAGATACTCGTGTTTAAAAATACTCTGGTAAAAGTAGAAGTACTGACTAAACTTCTTTACTCAAGTAAAAGTAAAGAGGCTTTGAAGTACTTCAGTAAAAAGTACCCATAACTAGCAGCTGTTTTAAAGAGTACCTGACCTCCCTTTATATTAATAGAACAATAATGTCATTGTTAGCTAATGAATGTTTCCATGCTGAACAACGGCAACATGACAACGTTTTCATTGGTCCCTCTTCTTTAGAGAAGACCAGAGGCCTGTACTACGAAGCTGGTTCAACCTAACCTGGATATGTTGGAGTTAGCCGGTTGGCCCAATCCAAAACATACGCGCTCTGGCTAAACTGTACTACGACGCTGGTTATCAAGTGGATCGCTCAAGCCAGCCGTGTCCTATCTAGTTAGGTGCGCGTTCACATGAAAGGGGTGGTATTTGGAGCATTCGACCAATCACAAACACGGACAAGCGTACTGACAGCGCAGCGTCATACTTCCTGAATGAAAAGTGAACTTTAATATTAGTCAAATATGAAGAAGTTAAACTTTAAACATCCATGACTTAAACACTTTTTCCAGGATAAAAGCCACATAGCTGCACCTGCAAGGTGAATACAGCTGGTAAAAGAAAAAGTGTTTGAATGCGTACATTAACAGGTTTATGAAATCACTGCCCCGTCCAAGACACGAGTGGATCTGACTTTAATTAGGAGAATTTGACTCGAGTGTTTCGTCAACTTAATGTGTTGCTTAAAATAATACTTCTGCATACAGTATGTGACACTGTGAGTGTTGCACGGCCAGATACGGCTCAAGAAGCTGACTCAAATAAGGAAATATATGATACATTATGATGTGATATGATATGAATGATAATGGGACACATCAACGTCTGCACTCACAGTGCCGCGGACTGTACTTAATGTTACTCTGATCCGGTTACTTATGTTGTGGCAGATATTTAAATAAGCTTTCTTAACGCTAATATTATAATAGTTTGATTGCTCTGAAGATGGGAGGGGATATTCTATTAATTTTCACGTTCACACAGTCAGTTGATTTTGGCCGGACGTCTTTCCTGCAACGGCAGTTTTTCTGTATTTCCTCTATCCTGTAATATGAATTGATCGCTTTAAACTCCGCACACTGAGCTCTGATTGGTCAGCAGGCGGTGCTTTCACTGAGTTGATCTCTTAGCCTGCCACCTAACCTGCTCCGGAGCAGGTTTGCCGCTCAGCATAAGTTACCATGGAAATCTAGCCTGCTAAAAAGAGAACCAGCGTCGTAGGACCGGAAAGCCCGAGATTTCCCTGAATTTAGCCGGCTAAGCGAAAATCCAGCTTCGTAGTACAGGCCTCAGGAAATGATGGATACACGGATCGTGTTCAAATCAATAGGCACGCAATGACTCTAAATAATAATGATCACGCCACCAAACACACATTCAAACTAAAGGAACCAGCCTGTTTGGAAAATGTAAGAAGTAGAAAGTACAGGTATTTGTGTTCAAAATGTAAGAAGTAGAAAGTACAGGTATTTGTGTTCAACATGTAAGAAGTAGAAAGTACAGGTATTTGGGTTCAAAATGTAAGAAGTCAAAGTAAAAAGTCGTCAGGAAAATAAGTAGTGGAGTAAAGTACTGATACCAGAAAAATGTACTTAAGTAAGTACAGTAACGAAGTATTTGTACTCCACTACCTCCCACCTCTGACTATGGGTAAAGTCTTATTTACGGGGCCACAACAGGCATCTGTGTTCAGAAGCATCCTGCAGTATCTGAGTTACAAATCATCCAGGCCTTGCCCTCAGCAGATGCCTTCAGTGCAGAGGAGTGTGCAGTGTAATGCATTCTCAGTAGGCGAACACCTCGAGGGATCGGTAGTTAGATTGCTGGACGGATGGGAGTCCGATTCCAGCTGTGATGAAGATGGAAGGCGCCTAACTTGTTAAGAGAGGCCTCAAGCGATGGGGAAGTCAAGGATCAGAGCCGAGCTGATGGTCCAGTCAGGAGAAAAGGAGGGCTGCTTCTTCCCAGTAGGGTTTCAGCAGTGGGAGCATTAGGCAGCCGCTCCGTCACCTTGCCAGGTTCCTAATGACTGCCTCGCTGCTGAGGTGCTTGTGTCAGCACTTTGAAAATGGCTCTCGCTCTGCGTGCATGCGACCACTCTGAGCTTTTCTGCACCAGGCACCAGCAAATGAAAAATATATTGCACAAGGCCTGTTACACCGGTCACAATCGCTGCACCACAAGTGTGTTTTTGCAGCAATTCAAGATTCAAAGATTCAAAGGTTTTATTGTCATATGCACAAAGCTACAGTGTAGGGTGTGTTCAATTTCAAATTAAAACATGATGTTTCAAAAATTGGTTTGGAATATTGAGTTTCTACAGAATCTTGTTGATATAGTTGTCATTATTGTTCCTTAATTCTCTCGGCCAAATTAATGTTTTCAAGTGAACAAATGTGTTGTTAGACATGCAATATTTTACTGGCCACTAGGGGTCAGTAAACACACCATTGACATATTATCACTTTAAACGTTTTTATTTGCCTAACTTTTTAGCAAGCGTTAATGAGAGTAAAATCGTTTTTGTAAGATATTCCAAACAGTGAAACACAGTTCTTCTTTGTGTCTTTTTAAGGATGGACCATTTACCATGTCTAGCGCCCCCTTGTGGTGTGGAGGAATGAGGGCGTCTGGATGAAGGCCATGGAGCTGAAAGTGTGGGTGGACGGAGTTCAGCGCATCGTGTGCGGCGTCACTGAGTTCACAACATGCCAGGAAGTCGTCATCGCTTTGGCACAAGCCATAGGTAAGCTCATAACTTCTTACTACGATGTCAGAAAAACAGTGTGCTTATCTCTAGCGATCACATCAGGTGGTATATGCTCGGAAACATATCTAACATCACAGGAATATCAGTTCAAATCAATATATGTATTTATATAACACCTTTCATACACAAAGGTAACTCAAAGTGTTTCACAAACCAATCACATAGACAATTTACAAATAAAAACAATACCATCTTGGCCTTCCCAGGTATAACCAGAGTAACATAAAGCTTTGTGATTAAAAGTAAATAAATAAAAAATAAATTAAAAGAAAATAATTAAAATAAATAAATACAATAAATAAATTAAATAAATTAAATTAATTAATTAAATAACAATAAATTAAATAACAATAAATTACAATAAAATACAAATAAAATACAAATAATTAAAATCTAGGTTGGTCTTGAGTTTCCTCTTAAAGTTTGAACTCTCTCTGATACAGTAGATGTAAAAAGCTTTTGGTTATAGGAAGGAGGATGAATAGACCACCATAAGAAGAGTATATTTAGCACTGTGAGATTAAATCTTCTCCACCCGGCTCCTGTGCTCAGAAACCTTAATGGTGCGAGATATTTAGTCCCAAATCATTCCCAATGGGAATTTTCTGCTCTGTGGGTTGTGTCCAATATTGGCCGGGCAGGTTGTCAGAGGTGCTGGAGATGATAAATTGCAGTAAAATGAAAAGTGACTTGAGGGCACAAAGAGATTTTCATCACAAATGGGATTTCACAAAACTAGATGAGTCATGCTGCAGACTTTGGTTTATGTACAAGTGCAGAGATATACGTTGACACTTTCTCTGTTACTCATGGAATTGATTGTAATGTACATAAAACTGTGAATCCAAGACCATAACAATATAATTTCACTACATTGAAAGATGTGTACTGTTTTTAAAATGGTTCCTACTTGGATTTCTCGCTGTCCCCCATTGATAGATCTTTCTCAGGGTTAAACATGTGTGTGTTTTTAATGGTGACAGTGTAGCAGGAGTTATGGCGTTGGCCGTCCTTTGTGTTCTCGTTGCCTTTTGTCCTGGCCAGGGCACTTTGATATGAATGGCTGTAGTGATGAATGTTCCTCTTTTACAAGGACCCTCACTGTGTAGGACGAGGGTAAGGGTACGCTAGGCAGTGTTTTACCCTTATCTATGTGTACAGACAAGAATGCAGGCGTACACACCCCCTCCCGTGACCAATTGAACGTAGCATTTCCCAACACAAACACTATTTGTTGGGTTGTTTTTCCCACTGTAAAGTTCTTTCACCTAACGTGCCGGTAACGTTCTTTGAAACAGTCAAAGCTGCTCAAGCGTGGGAGAAATGAGAAAGACTTCAATGAATCTGCTCTGTCTTTTCTCTTAGATATAACACTTTATTTTGAAGGCTTGCTTATGCTTCAGGAGTTTTCACCAAAACAGAATACATCACATTAAATAAAAGTTATTTTTCAGGGCATAAATCTGGGAGTCATCTGCATAACAAAGATAATAAATGGTGTAGTTTGGACTCCAAAGGGGGCCAAGCATAGAGCCCTGGGGAACACCCAATGAGAGAGCAACGCCATCTATAACAGAGAAACGTTTTTAATTAAGTGTGAGCTAAATCAGTTCTCCATTGCAACACATTTTCTAAATAAGACCGGCGTCACCCATGTACCGTTAAATTAAACACTGCAATCTTAAAACCAAATCTACTTTCATCCGAACAAAATACAACATAAACTATTTCCATCATACTTAAACAAAATAAATCAAAACAGATTATGGCTCACAATTTTGTAAATCATCCCTCTCCATAAAACTTAATGATCGATATTTTCCTTTTGTATAGGTGACCAATGGAGAGTAGACCACTTCAAAATAAGAGCACTGAGAAAAAAATAAGAAATGCAGAAAAAGAACTCATGAAACTTGTTCTAATTTTGGCAGATTTTTTTTTTTTCACGTCCGAACCCATTACTCATAGGAACAATCTTATTATTTGTAGGTACATTGCAGGTAAAAGGGATCAATTATGACACATATTCCAAAACAACATAGACAACAGACAACTCTCTCGAAAAAGTCTGTCTTTTACCTGCAAACCAAATCTACCTACAGGTACAAATGAATAACCTGAACCTAAACCTGATATTTTTTTAATATATGGTACTTTTGTTGCAATCATGTTGTCAGGAAATGTCAGTTTTAAGCACCTCATCATGTATAAACCTTTCAAATGTTGTTCCAGGACGCACCGGCAGGTACACTCTGATCGAGAAATGGCGTGACACAGAACGCCACCTGGCCCCGAACGAGAACCCCGTGGTGTCGCTCAACAAATGGGGTCAGTATGCCAGCGACGTGCAGCTCATCCTCCATCGGACCGGCCCGTCTGTCAGCGAGCGGCCAAACTCTGACGGACAAACCCGGTTCCAAGAGAGAGGATTTTACCGCCAGAGTCTGCCTCCTCTGGCCAAACTCCGGCCCTCAGGGAACGACAGCTCGCTCAAACGAAGGGAACCCAAACGCAAATCCTTGACTTTCACCGGGGGGGCCAGAGGTCTGCGGGACCTGCTGTGGAAAAGCAGAGATACTGAAGGTAAGGGGTTTGAATTTGTCCTGTACGTTCAAAACTGCTAAACGCTTTGTAGTTAGAATCAGAATTAGTTGTGATGTGTGCCATGTTGAAGCACTCCTTTGTGCTCCAGTCAATCCGATCAAATGCACGCTAAAGGGTATTTGAGCATATCTTCTCTCACTGATTGTGCTGTTATGTTAAATGTTTGTTGTTTGTTTTTCATGTATTGTGTCTTGATATTTGTCTATGTTGATGTTACACATGGAGCTGCTGTGATGCAAGTCAAATTTCAGACTTGATCTGACCATTAAAGTATTATCGTATCTCACGTATCGTATCATATGTTGTTAAAGCACTTTGAGCTGTGTGAAAAGTGATATACAAATAAAGCTTTATTATGACTATATTCAGCCAAACAGCCGCAGCAGCAGCAGCGAGGTGTGAGTCTGAACCTGTGCAGGGTCGGAGTTGTCGGAGGTGTTGGATCTCCCTCTGTGCCGGGGAGTCCCTCCGGAGAGATGAGGCGTCTCGTTCAGCTGCAGAGAGACAAGCTACAGGCTGTGGAGAGCCGGCTGCTGGGGTGTGAGGCCGACCTGAGGGACTGGGAGGAGGTCGCTGGAGAGGCTGGGGACGTGAGTGAAACTACAGCTGACAGGAAACCATGATGTGTGCAAATCCATAACACTTGCACTATAAACCCTCACAAATGTGTCTTTACACAACGTTTCAGGTCATTTCTGGCCTGTCATACTCTGACGACGTAGCCGCATAACAACGCACAATGTTCGTCTTTTGACATCTCTAGCGTAGCGGGCTCCAAAACCAGGTGCAAATCCATAAGACTTGCACTATAAACCCTCACAAATGTGTTAAGTTTTAGGCTGCCTTCACACAACGTATCAGGTCATTTCTGACCTGTCATACTCTGATGACGTAGCCGTAAAAAAAAACACACGTTACACTTTTTACACCTCTAGGCTCCGACAACAGGTTATTTCGAATATTAATAGCAGTCAATCACTGTCCGAGCTTTTAAGTCTTCCATTATTCCCAAAGTAGACTTTTTATGGATGCAAAAGAGCCAAAATATCAACTTGCCCTGTGCATGAGAAACAATGTTTTTTTGCCTGCAGTGCCTTATCATTATTTTGAATTCACTTTGGGTCGAGCGAGTTAAGATAAGAGATAAGAAGTACTTTATTGATCCCAATTTGGGACTTTTTTTGCGTTGCAGCAGCATAAAAAGACAAGGATTCATGATTCAAGGCTTTTATTAGCATTAGTACATAGCTACAGGGTAGATATATAAATGAAAATCGTAGGTCACAGGCTCCTCATACAGTGCAACACAATAAAACAGATAACATAGTGCAAGTAAACACAAATAAAATAGGATAGAAATAGTGCAAGGAAAATGTATTGTGGAGAATGCAAGCTTTACTTATCCACCTGGAGGCTGTTTAAATGGAAACTCAAAGGCATTGTCTTTTTGTCTTTTTTATTAGGATCCCCATTAGCACTAGCATGAGCATTGGCTATTCTTCCTGGGGACCTCACACACACAAAACATACATAAAACAAAACTGAAAAGCTCATAATTTCATCGATTTACAGTGCTATATGAAATGAAAACTAAAATGGTCATCCAATTCTCGCCATCATAAGAGTACATTAGAGTTCCTAAAGTAACTCACTTTTCCCTCTCCACAGGGAGGCAGCCTGGAGGAGGAGCTGCAGATCCTGGAGCAGCAGGTGAGGAGGAACGAAGCAGAGATGGAGGAGGAGGTGTTCTGGCAGAACGAGCTTCAGATCGAGCAGGAGAGCGAGCATCAGCTCCGGCAGCAGCTGAGCGAGCTGCAGGTTCGTGTCCGGGACTGTGAGGCCAAACTCTCAGAGTACCTGGCACACATTCAGGTGAGCATCATGGAGGAGCTTTACTTATCCACCTGGAGGCTGCTAAATGGAAACTAAAAGTAGATTATTTTCCATGCCAGTTTTCACATTTATTTTACTTTCAGGGCATGGAGGGAGGTCTGGAGCAGGAGCGTCTGCAGCAGGAGACTGAGCTCCACCAGAGGGTCAACGAGGAGGAGGTACAGTCCAGTCTGTACATAACAAAAAGATTAGATTAGATTCCTTTACTGTCACTACACAGAGTATAGCGAAATTCCAAGCATTCCCAATAGTGCAATCACACATAACAGATAATATAAGTATCATTTTGGCAATACAAGCTAAAAACCTTTAATATATACTATATAAAGTGACCTATGATACATAGAACAGTACGCTTATAAAACAATACAACATTACCATATAAATACAAGAACAATACGGTCAAGTCTTGGGGTCGGGGGGGCTGATAATTTATTCCGGCAAATTACTCAGACCTACTAATTGACCTAACAGAAGTTATTGAGTCTATGTACTGCTTGGCTCAGATCCACCAACGTCAGCAAGATCTCACCTCTATTAATTCCTGGAGAACCAGGTTCAATTAACTGCTGTTTCAATTCAGACGACCCGCTAAATCTGTTTAACCGATCCCGAAGGATTTTGATATCAGTAATGAGGTATGGCCCTACCTAAGTGTGAGTGTGGCAGTGTGCATTTCTTACCTTTCAAGCAGGAGAGGAGAGCCCAGATGTCTTTTAAGTTGTCCCAATCCAAAAGGTGGGATCAGTTTATTTGAAGAAAAATTGGTCCACACTTGAACAGGGTTTCTACCTTCTCTCGTTACAATATGACAATAATATAAAACATATCATGCGGTGGTCATTTTCTAATCTGAAACCTTAATTCATAGTTTAGACATTAAAGTCTTCCGACAGAATCCAGAGGAATCTCCTCACGGATCGAAGGTGCTAACATTCATACCTAGAGTCCGACAGCATTCAGAGGCAGTTCCTCAAAAATGGTCAGTAGGATCTAACAGTTTCAAACTTTCATCCAACAATTCACTCAGCATTCAATAAACAGAAATGTAAGCAATATTTATCAAGTTTTGAGAGAACCTTACCGAGGGAAAAACCCAGCTCTCCAGGGAGAGAGCATACCAGGGGAACCCCCCTCTCTCGAGTTTGCTCCCTCTCTGCTTGTGTTTTTATGCTCGAAACAGGACAGAAAAACCTAAAGACACCTCCTCCATACCCATATTTGTGGAAACTGGGCATGGCCTCTAGTGTGCAGGACTTGCAAAATATTATTCTCGGCTATGGCACAAACACCTTTTTGGGGCCTCAGTCTATTTCTCCTTAAGTCAGGAGCCCCCCCCCTGTACTGCTGTGGGAAGAAACTGTCTCTCCTCTCTTATCAGTGACACCTCGTAAACCATAATAGGTCTTACACTCAACTTAACAAACCACTTTGTTTTGTACTGTAAATATAGAAAATCATAAAATATGAAGCATTTTCATTTTGGGTTATACAAGAATATAATTGATATAATTAACTTTCGTTTTAAGTATTCAACCTAATATGGAGACCTCAATACAAGGCAGTACATTTTTTTTAAACAAGTCAATAAATAAGTTATTGTACATGTTTATCAGTGCAAACTGCCACAATACACAACAAAGCACTGAAATTGTAGCATTCAATGAACTAACCGCATTTACAATTCTAAAATATTATAACACAGCAAGATTTAAAAAGCACAGTAAAAGTGCACGGTCATATTAATGATTTGCTAGGCTACCCAGACATTACCTCACGTGGTTCTTGGCTGCTGAATACTAAGTTGAAGGCTGTTACATATTTTGACCAATCAATGTACTTTTTAGCTGTGATTAATTAGATATTAAGCTACAGTATGGATGGCCGAGATGTTCTCCAGCTGAATCAGGACAAAAAAAACTACATTTAAAACAGTTCAGAAGCTATAGGGGTTATACTTGATTTAAATCTAAGCTTCGAACCACACATTCATAACAGAAATGTGATAAAAAAAACATTTTATCATCTAAAGAATATTGCTAGAGATTGGCCGTTCATCTTTCCAGGCAGGACAAGGACACTAATGCTTTTATTACCTGTAGAATAAATTACTTTAATGCTCTGGTCTCCATAAAAGGAATATATATCTTTCATACATTTACTGCAAAACTCAGCCACAAAAGTGTTAATCAGAATCAGAAACAGGTTTATTACCAGGTAGGTTGACACGTAAAAGGAAAATGTACTTGATGTCATGGTGCATACATAAAAGCAAAACAAAAATTAAAAAACACAGATAGAGAACTAGAAAAATGTGAAAAATAATAAAAAATATTGTAAAATATAACAGTATTTACATAGAAATGGAATGGAATAGAAATCGGCAGAAATAATCAAATAAAACAGATATTGTTGTACATTGTGTGCATTAATGTAGTGCATAGAGTCTATAATGAGAGGCAGGAAGAGACCTCACGTCACCCAGATGTTAGCGTCTCTGCTGAGCTTTCCTTCAGCTGTTTTTTTTAAGCACAAAAAGAGTCTCCTTCATCCATTATATCTTCCTCTTCACTCTCTCTCTGTATTTCAGGTGCAGAACCAGCTGGAGAAGGTTCTGTTGGAGCTGGAGGTTCAGAGCGAGCACACGTCGAGGCTGGAGAGCAGCTGCCGGGCTCTGGAGCGCTCGCTCAGCCAGTCAGGCCACAGACTGCAGGTCAGCTCACATCTGATGTTTAATTTTTTTATTAACACAATAGGGTTATCTAGGGTTGGCCATTCATATCCTATGGAGGTCATTTTTTTGACCGGGAACATCATAGGTGTTAAATTCAATGAAAAAGGTGATCAGAATCAGAATCAGAATTCCTTTATTTGTCCCGCAACAGGGACATTTACATCCTTACAGCAGCAGAATATATTAATATAGTTCAGATAAAGTGAAGAGAATAGACTTACTTATTAAAACATAACTAAGTATGCACACGTCCAGCCACAGACTGCAGGTCAGCTCAGATATGCTGTTTAGTATTATTACATTTTTATGGCATCGAAATCGTCCGGATTTGAAAACATCCTTGGTAGTTTTGAGAAGACGTTTTATTCTAGAAAATGCTCAAACCCTCCTTTTGTGTTTGTTTCTCTCCCCTTACTTTGTTTTCCCGGTCAAATGTCTGCTTGAACTGCTCTTAAATTAAAAAGAAACCTTAATCATCACCACCTTTTATTTCAGAATCAGAATCAGAATACCTTTATTAGTCCCACAGAGGGGACATTTACAAAGACAGCTTAATGTTACCTAAGTAGCATGCAGAACATCTTTTTTAAAATTATTATAATAAAAAAAGTTACACAATTTACATAAAAAACACATCCTTTAACAGTTCTGAGGATTTAGCAGCCAGGTATATATTGCACAGTGAGAAAGCAGTCCTCGGCACACAGGTGGAGGCGAAGAAATCCAAGCTCATTAGGTTGTGTGCAGTGAAGCGAGGTTTAATCTCTGGTGGATCCTGGGCTGTACAGTGAAGATCCACAGAGTGTACAGTGAAGATCCACAGAGTGTACAGTGAAGATCCACAGAGTGTACAGTGAAGATCCACAGAGTGTACGGTGAAGATCCACAGAGTGTACAGTGAAGATCCACACAGTGTACGGTGAAGATCCACAGAGTGTACAGTGAAGATCCACACAGTGTACGGTGAAGATCCACAGAGTGTACAGTGAAGATCCACACAGTGTACAGTGAAGATCCACAGAGTGTACAGTGAAGATCCACACAGTGTACGGTGAAGATCCACAGAGTGTACAGTGAAGATCCACAGAGTGTACAGTGAAGATCCACACAGTGTACGGTGAAGATCCACAGAGTGTACAGTGAAGATCCACACAGTGTACAGTGAAGATCCACAGAGTGTACAGTGAAGATCCACACAGTGTACGGTGAAGATCCACAGAGTGTACAGTGAAGATCCACAGAGTGTACAGTGAAGATCCACACAGTGTACGGTGAAGATCCACAGAGTGTACAGTGAAGATCCACAGAGTGTACAGTGAAGATCCACAGAGTGTACGGTGAAGATCCACAGAGTGTACAGTGAAGATCCACAGAGTGTACGGTGAAGATCCACAGAGTGTACAGCAGGTCCATCAGGGTGTGGGAAATATGAGGTAATGAGAGGGGAGGGAGGGGGGCTGTTACAGCATTCTTCCTCTGATTAGAGAGGGGCCTGAACACAATCCCTCGCCTGCAGTTGCGTAACCATCTGGAAGCTAATTCTCTGTAGCTGTTTATCTGGGTTATGAGCAGCAGAGGTGGAAGAAGTACTAAGAGTGTGTACTTTATTGAAGGTAGAAGTACCAGAGAGTAGGAATACTCTGTTTCAAGTAAAGGTCCTGCAATCTTAATGTCAGTCAAGTAAAAGAAGGAAGGTATTAGCATCAAAATATACTTAAAGGTGGGGTAGGTAAGTTTGAGAAACCGGCTCGAGATACACTTGTTGTTATATCCCATGGAATGCTCTTAACATCCCGATAGCAATGAATATCTGAAGTGCTTTGACAAAAAATCCATTAAAAAATGTCATCTGTGGAAGCCGTGGTACTGTAAAAAGCACGACCAATCATTTTAGCCGGCCCGGCTAAAATAACTGGATGGCCTACCTGCCTGTCAGCCTTCCATCTGTGCACAAACTTATCTCGTGCCCTCATTGGTCATGTGCGCGTTCGTGTGTGTTGGAGGAGGGGCTCTGTAAGGAAGTGGGAGATTTTTTCCGGCTGTGTATTTTCAAATTCTAGCGCACTCGAGCTGGTTTCTCCAAAATTACCTACCCCACCTTTAAGGTACCAAAAGTAAGTAAAGTACTAGTACCTCAAAATTGAGCTTGAATACAGTACTTGAGTTAATCTACTAAATTACTTAACACCACTGATGAGTGTGAGTGTGAAGGTATTAGGTACCATATACTCCAGCTCAATTTTGTCTTAATGTACATTATTTAATTTCATATTCTGTTCATGTATATAGACTTTTTGCACTACTTTTTATTTTGTATTTTATTATATATGTTGCATTGTTGGAGGAGCTCATGTCAGAATAATTTCATTGCCATTTCTACACTGTAGCTTTGTGCATATGACAATAAAACCTTTGAATCTTTGAATTGAATTTGAGTGTGCACTACTCCTCCTTGTATTGCACATAGAGTGTATTATTCCTCAGCATGTTTCCCTCGTGCAGGAGAAGGAGCAGGAGCTGGAGCAGCTGACTAAAGAGCTGCGACAGGTCAACCTGCAGCAGTTCATCCAGCAGACCGGCACCAAGGTCACCGTGCTGCCTGCCCAGCCTGCAGGGGACAACGGTACACACACACACACACACACACACACACACACACACACACACACACACACACACACACACACACACACACACACACACACACACTTGCCACAATACCATGACCTTGTTGATAGGTTCTATCATAACTAGCCTCGTTTGGATGAAAGTGCTTTGTTTTCATTATTGTCTTCACATGTGTTTGTACACAGTGCCCCCTTCTGGTCATCTTTAGAGTGTATGTGCCATAACTTAAGCAAGTGTGTAGCCCGGTTAAATCACTAGTATGCTGCAAGAATCCCTCAGAGAAAGATTTATAATTTATGAAGTATATTAAAAAGCGACCATTTCAAATTAAAGAGGCTAAAATTAGTGTGTGTGTGTGTGTGTGTGCGTGTGTGTGTGTGTGTGTGTGTGTGTGTGTGTGTGTGTGTGTGTGTGTGTGTGTGTGTGTGTGTGTGTGTGTGTGTGTGTGTGTGTGTGTGTGTGTGTGTGTGTGTGTGTGTGTGTGTGTGTGTGTGTGTGTGTGTGTGTGTGTGTGTGTGTGTGTGTGTGTGTGTGTGTGTGTGTGTGTGTGTGTGTGTGTGTGTGTGTGTGTGTGTGTGTGTGTGTGTGTGTAGAAGTGGACTCTGGTTCTCTGAAGAGACTCGGCTCTTCTCGGCTGTTACCCAGCGACCTGCGAGCCCTGAGCGCCGGGACGTCCGGACTCAACCCTGAAGGCATCTACGTTTGAAACTGAGACAGGATTTGAGCAGAAAATGCTGAACACTCTGGAGCAAGGCACTGAACGTTGGAAAACACAGTGCATGGAGGACAAGTGAGGTATCACGAATAACAGTTTTCCATCTGCTCTGCATCTCTCCTCCTCTTCCATCTCACTAGCGACACACACTGAGGCTATTATCCATCTGCAAACTAGCATTGAATCTGTCTGTAGTGGAGTGTGTGAGTGGATATTCCTCTTAAATCACTCTCGTTCTACTAAAGCTACAAGAAAAACCAGCCAGCAGAATCCTGTGTTTCCTGAGGAGGCTTCAGCAGACATTCATATTTGTTTCAAATCATGAACTCCAGGATGTTTGGACACACGTAAACATGAATCATGCACGAGCATGCACCATATCTGATTGCCTTACTGGTGTTTTTAAACCAGACATCACTGAAACAGAGCTCAAGGTATCTCTAAACTATGCGCCGTTGGAACATTTCAGGTGATGGTAACTGATGTCAGTAACACTCAACAGTGGCTCCTTTTCCTTCACACAGGTCGATTTTAACCAGGACATTTAATCATTTATCATTTGTGTGTGCGAATGTTTGCCTACAAAGGAGAAAATAGATGGAGAACATCAACTAAGGGACATTTTTGGTGCATTGCCATCGGTCTCCTCTGTGTTTCACTCAAAGAAAGTGATGTGGAATGACAGAGGTCTTTGAGCATGCAGAGTTTATACTCCTTGAAAAGTTTGCCAATAAAGGCTTCAGTCTGACCACCAGGTGGCGACAAATCATATAAACTGCAGCTGATGAAAGTTAACTAGGAAAAGTTGCTTTGTCTTTATCGAGTTTTTTTTAACAAAGCCTCAGCATCTTACACACATTTCTTTTTCCCATCAGATTTTTTACTGAACAAAAGATGTCTTATATGAACCAAAGCTAGTGTGAACAACTATAATAGTTAGATGAATGTACTTTTTTCATATGAATGCAACGTGGAGAATAACTAACTTCCAACAGTACCGGTGTTTTCATGGTTTTTCGTCTGTCTTGTTCAAACTTGACACAGAAAAAGATGATAGTAAAACTCAGACAAATTCTTCAAACTGTTCGATAACAATTCCACAAAATACTGGGTGTTACCGCATGTACCCGTTTCTATTTGATCCTTTTCTCAACAGAAGAGAAAAAGGGAGATTTCTTGCTGGCTTTCTGGGATGAACTGATTCAAACTGTGGGATTATACGGGCTCATTTCAGAGTCAATACGGTTTAGATCTGGAAATCATTTCAAAGTCTGTGGTTAGAAAAAACCTCTTTGTTAAAGGGAATTGCAAGAAGGTCTTAATATTATGTTTGAACAGGACTTAAAATGGTACTTAAGTGTGTGTGTGTGCATACTTCAGTGTCACGCACAGTGTGGGAATTTGGAGTTTCAAACAGTTTTCTGATTTAAATCGGAACTCAAATGCTTCCAAAAATAGCTCTTTTTGTATAGTTTGTAGGACTTTTGGTCAATTGTTCACATACATTTCTCATACTTAAACTCATACATTATGATGTACAATAATAAATAAACCCACCTAGCACCATATTAAGTGATTCAAACCAGCTCCACTTTTACCAGCTGCACCATACGTACATTATGCATCATTATTTATAATACAATATATAACATAATATTCAGAAATGGGTCATTCTGCTATATGATACTTTTCCATTGGTACTTTGCATAGTTACAGTATATAGTTTTGCAATTATTAGGTTTGAAAAAATCTAAATAGCTCCATCACTGACAAATTAATCATGTTTTTCCGGCATCTAGAAATCTTTAATACTTATTTTTACAAACTTTAATCTCTTATGCACATTTTTTTTATACAACCACAGACTTTGAATTAAATCAACATGTTGACAAAGTGAAGGTAAACGGCACAAATTGGCTAAAAACTATTCTCAGAAATGCAGTTTTTGCTCCTCTTCCCCCCCCCCTCAGTATCCAGTATTATCATCATGGCCCTAAAACAGAGACCGTAACCCACGAATAAAAGAATCCCAGCGCTTTGTTTTTTAATAACGGCATGCCTTACTGAAAAAAGAACCTGTAAATAAAGTCTACATATCACGTCAGTCTTTGGATTGAAGTCTGAAATATGCAGTGTGCTGGAGAGGTTACTTTTTTAATAACTGTTCGATACACAGCTCTGTGTGCATGCAATAATGTCTGATTGATTTTTCCTTGACTTCAAATTAATTGTTACCTAGGATGCAACAATACATCTGAGAATCATTTCATTTTGTGTCCCTTTTTTTGCCTTGTTAACATTTACACTGATGGAGCTTTTGGTAGCGGGCGTGGACTCGTATTTTCTTGCCTTTTTATTCAATTCTATGGATGCAAAATGGATCAGTGTTGCATCGAATCACGACAGTATGTTTACAGACATTTCCACTGATCGCTTTCTGTTGTGCCATCAATGCTTTTCGAAATAATAGCGTATACAAAATGAGATGATGGGGCCATTATGGAGGCAGCCATCAGTAGAAACACGGCGGCTCAGGGATACTTCAGGACACAGAATTACACAGATGGGGAAGGGCAGGAAGTAATTATGGACGAATGCTGTTCATGATGTCTCGAGTCATTTGACAAGTTTAATCGTGTATCTGCTCTCGTGGGGACTTGAGCAGCTGTTTGCCAAATTTAACGTATAGAAAATGGGCTTAAAGATGCAACAGGACAAATGTAACTGCTTCATTTGAAAGTGTTTCGGGTGGATCGTGAAAAAGTAGGGCTAGCAAAACATGAATAATGACATGAATTAGATGGATGATGCTTAGCTAACAACACTGACTTGCATTAACTCAACAGTTATACTAATGTTGTATTGTTTTACTCACAAATTCACCTATGATGTATTTTTTAGCTTTCAGAATTTAACACGTTTTCTTCATTGTGTCATCTTTTAGCCATATGTGTATGAAAGGCGTGAAAATCAAATCCAAGAATAATGTAAAATATATAAATAAATAAATAAAATATATTTAAAAAAACATGCCAGAAATGAATAAACTGATATACAGTGGTGACGACTGTGTGTGTTGTTTTTTTTGTTGGTATTAGCTAGACATATGACTTGTCACCCTCTGTCTGAAACCAGAGCCCAGTCTGCTCTGATTGGTTAGCTGGCCGGCTCTGTTGTGATTGGTCAACCAGCTTAGAGATGCCCCGCCCCTTAGCCTATCAGGTACAATGTGTTGGAGCGCTAGCCAATAGAAGTGTGAGTGTTACGTAGGGATGTCACTGTTTTCCAGAAGTAATCAGAATATAAAAAACCTTAACAACACATTAAACCAGGGGTGTCAAACTCAAATACACAGTGGGCCAAAATAAAAAAATGGGTACTAGTCGAGGGCCGGACTGGTTCAATGTTTATTGCAAAACGTATTGAAATGAACTTATTGCACATATTAAACCTGGAACTAACAAAGCTTAAATTATTGCCTATAAAAACAACATTAAACATTAAATAATCAGTTGCATTCATTTCTTATGGCTCTATCTGCAGCTTTTCCAGAGTCATTTCTTATGATTACATTTTTCCACAGGCCAACAACAGCTTCAAAAAAACTATTTCCCTCAAAGAAAACATGCCCTGTTGTCGTGAGAAAGAAAGTGCAGAAGGAAACATCCATGTGAACTCAGTGTGCTGCTCTGTGATGCTAGTTCAAGCCAGATACTTGGCATCTCATCTTGGGTGCAAGTTCATCAATGTTTGGGGTCAGGCTCTGAGCTGAGGAGACCCTCAGGATTGAGTGAAGGTGTGCGTGCAATATACCGGCGGGCCAGATCTAATAGTAATTAGAAATTATCCTGCGGGCCGAAATTAAATCCACCAAGGGCCTGATTTGGCCCCCGGGCCTTGAGTTTGACACATGTGTACTACAGGAAAAGGAAAACCCCAAAAAGCATAATGGCGTCTTTTAAATTCATTTAAATCAATTGTAATATCAGGTAATGTTAGTGACACTCATCCTGCTACAAAACATGACGCTATTTTTCGAGTGCACTTACAGTAAAGAACAGCTTCTACATTTCAAACAGGATGCAGTTGTCTCAACAAGATATTTTAGACTTTTATCTGGTAAACAAGAACCAAATAAAAGCTAGGATGACCTTCTGTAAATCTGCCAAGGATTAAAAACAACTTAATATTTCAATTGTTTCTGAATTGTTGCCAGCCTTTTTACCTGAACTTCAGAAGTCAAATCACTGTCAGACTCACGGTCTTCTGGTCAGCCGGCTTTTTGTTTCAACAAAGACCGAGAAGAGTTTCAGATTCATTTTAAACTTTTGATGCTTTACACAGAGTTGGAGAACTTCGATCACTCCAGGTGTTTTTGAAGTAATGTGTCTCTCCCTGGTGTATTAGTGCTTTAAAACTTTTTAAATGGAGCTCAACAGCTGGGTCAGAGGGGCTTGAATTACATCTGTGACCCTCTCACACCAGACGACACTGGAAGATTTGTCGCCTTAAATGCTTTTAACCCTCCTGTTGTCTTCGGGTCAAATCTGACCGATTTACTACTTTCATCAATCATAACTTTTTTGTTTTACAGTCGATTGCATTAAGGCTTTATGATATCCTTCACAGACATTTGAACATATACAATTGCTGATCACCACTTTTATTGAATTTTGGATGATTTAGTCAACTTTGTAACACCCATGGTGTTCCCGGTCACATGACCGCCATAAAGAAAAGGAATTAGTGACCATCCGGATCAGATAAAAAACACACACACACACACACACACACACACAAACGCACACACACACACACACACACAGAACAATTTGACACATTTCCCGCTCTTATGTGCCCATCCCCCCACATGGATCACACCTGGCACACGCAATACATGTTCAGTGTCTATTCTTTGTATATTAACTGCAGTTTTTCATGTATACCAGTAGTCTGATACAATATTTACAGTTTGAAAGGGTGTTAAATGAAATTTGGTGATGATTAATGGTTTTTGTGTTAATGTAATAGCAGTTCAAACAGGACCGGTCAAATTTGACCGCGAACACCAAAGTAAGGGGGGGGGGGGAACGAAGACAATAGGAGGGTTAAAGGTTTGGTTTTTTTAACCATCATTGCCTCCTGTTGTTTAGAAGGTACCATCAATACACTTAATAGTTTGCAGGCATCAATCCTCATGATGTATTATACAGTAGATCTCATTTAGGGAGTTTATCAGGGGCTTCTGAGTAAGTGACAGCAGCCAAGCCTCCAGCTGTTAAACCATTACAGTATCATTCAGTTTAAAATGTTATTTTTCTACATCAGCGTAGAGTGTAAATGGAGGCATTGAAAGGAAATATGATTAAATGTTAAAAAACACTTTTCTATTACAATATCAACACTGTAAGTCCCTCTTAAACACACGGTTGTTGCTGTTGTCTTACATATTATACATTACAGCCTTACTTACTGTGTTTTATCTTGTGTGACTAATTCATAGGAACAATCCATATTCCTTTATTCTTTCTCTCTCCTGATCTCTGCCAATTCAACACAAAGCCGCCAAAGAGCCTTGCAATAACGTGAAAGCAGCGTGATTTTATCAGAAGGAAAGTGCGATGTTGAGATCAGAGATTTTTTATGCAAGTTATACCTGAAAGTCTTCTTCTACAAGGCACAGCGTGATGGGGATGAGTAATATCCTTACACTCATGAAGCCTAATTAGTTAACCTCAATTTGTGAATTACGATGCAAATGCGGCACCTTAGATGGATTAAACAATTGCGTTTAAAATGAATTATAGTTGTGCTGGAAGATTGATTAGACTCCCTCCCTCCGTGTGTGTGTGTGTGTGTGTGTGCGTGTGTGTGCGCGCGTGTGTGTGTGTGTGGATATTTGCACCCTGGCTGTTGCTGTCATTAAATAGCCCCTTGGCCCCTCTCCTGAATTTGTTTATTCTGCACTGGGCATGGGAGGAGGTGGCAAACAGATGGGCATCCATGAATTATGGAAATGATGGGCTTTGATTAACCACCACACACTCTGCTGGATAAAAGTAGCTGCAGGGTTGCCAAGTTATTTGGTGCACTGGGCTGTGCCGTCAGTCAGGCAGCAGCAGCAGCAGCGTGATGAACCTGATGCTTGATTGATGTTGTTTACTGCTCAAATCTTAAAAAGTGTACAACAAAGCTGATGTATTTTCTGTCTCGTTCGGTCCAAGGTGAAAGAGCATTTCAACATTTTGGGAGATAAAGTAAAGCACCCTGGCTACCCAAGAGTTTTTTAGATGACAAGAATGAAACCATGTTCATGTGGGTGCGTACAAACTCAAAAAAGAGCTAGTGCGAGTGTTCAAAAACTGCTCATAAGCACCTCTAAAACTCATTATTAGTTGATTAACGTCACTTTCATGTCTGTGTTTTTGATTATAAGCTCAGGGTGTCGGTCTCTTAGCTTAGCATAAAGCCTGGAAAACTGCTAGCCTGGTTCAGCAGTGATAACAAAGCCAAACACAAAACCACAACTTGACATTTTGCTCTTTGGTTAAACAATCCTAATGTGTTTATTAGCTAAAGAGTTGCTGGTAGGAAAACTTTGTAACATTTGAAGAGAGCCTGTTTACCTTTTTCCCTCTGCTCTCCCACTCTTTACGCTAAGCTAAGCTAACTAGCGGCTTACAGCTTCACACTTAAAGGACCAGTTTATGAAAAATCTTTAGGAATATAATATTCAATATCAGGTTTTCATTAAAAAATCACTTGAAACACAGATCTTTTTTTCTTCCTGTTAGCTTACAATGAACCCCTTTTAAAGAGAACTGGTTCTAACATAGTGTGCCGTATTGAACCGCCGTGTTTTTAAAATAGCCCCAAACCTACAAACCAAACACTGTCTTAGTTGAACTTTTTTACATTACATTACATTACATGTTACTTGTTAGACGCTTTTATCCGAAGCGACTTACATACTCAATGTGGGAAATCCCCACAGGAGCAATTTGGGGTGAAGTGTCTTCAGGGACACAACGACATGCTGAGTGCAGTGGGGTTTGAACCTGTGCTCCCCTGATCCGAACACCAATGCACTATTCCACTGCGCCATAGCCTCCCCTTTTATACTTTAAAGGTCCCATGTCATGCTTTTCCGGTTATTACCCGTCCCCTTGTGTGTTATGAAGGTTTTTCTGCATGTAAACGGTCTGCAGAGTCAAAACCCCTCAAAGTACACCCTGTAGCGAGTAAAACTCTAACACAGAGAAGACCT